CTTTAAACAGATCGGATTTTTAACACATGATTAATTTACGGATAAATCAACGCATCAATTCATCAACGTGTTTAATCCTAAATCCCTTTATCTTTAATATATGATCCGCACGCGGAGCATGTATTAAAAACGGCACTGTAGGCAAGAGTGACACTTCGTGCGCGGATCATGGGGGCGCAGGGTGGCCAAAGCCAACCGCGCAGGCGGCCACTGTCGCATCGCGCTCGGCGATCGGGGGGCCCTCTAGCGAGCCCGCACCGCAAAGGCCCCTCCGGCGGAGCGCCGCTCCTGCACGTGTCGCGGCCTGGAGAGTCCCCCTCTCCTGGCCCCCGTCGCGGCCCCCCCGTCGTCCCCCCCGGAGAGCCGCGCCCGGCGAGGGCGGCGAGGGGCGGGGCCGCTCCGAGGGCACAGGGATCGCAGGAGCAACAGGCCTGCACCCCTTGTCCAGCCCCCCCGCCGCCTTCCGTCCCTCATCGCCCCCACACCCCCACCCCCCTCTCCTGGCCCCCGTCGCGGCCCCCCCGTCGTCCCCCCCGGAGAGCCGCGCCCGGCGAGGGCGGCGAGGGGCGGGGCCGCTCCGAGGGCACAGGGATCGCAGGAGCAACAGGCCTGCACCCCTTGTCCAGCCCCCCCGCCGCCTTCCGTCCCTCATCGCCCCCACACCCCCACCATGCCCCTCCCTGTCCCCCTCTCTCCCTCTCTCTCGGGCCGCCCCCCCCTCTCGATGTCACCCCCCTCCCCCCTTTCGCGTTCCCTCCCTCCAACAGCCACGCCGCGATCCCTCTCCAACTCTTCCAGCCCCCTCTCCCCGCAGTGATGAAGCTTCCTTGCACGTCAATGCTATACTCTTCGACTTCCCTCTATGCCTCATGATGTGTCGAATTGCGACCTTCCACAAACACCCAATCTTCAGGTATATTGTTCGCTTTCGCAGTGCTTCTCTAGGGCTCTCTTGTGGTATATTGGGACCAGGTTGAGGCCCCAATGGCTCATAAGAGGTGTAACAGGAGACAAATTCCATTGGAGGAACACTGCAAAACCTGTTGAATGGATTTGGCCTCCCGGGGGGCATCCTCGGAAAACTCCGTGACCATCCGAAAACCATATTGGAGCCTTCTTGGAGCAGTAGTGGATTCCACTCGGGTCGACTTGAGCCATCTTGCGGCATCTTGGAGGCCTTATGGGAGAAAACTATATCAGTGACGTTGTCCTCCCCATCCTTTCTCACTACCTGCTCCTGTCATCTCTTTCAGAGCTCCTCCCATCCCCCAGCGGGCCCTTCAACAAGGCCGCGATCTCGTCGCTCAAGGTCTCGATCGTCTCCTACGCGGCTCAGACAAGCTCCCAAGCTCCTCCTTGTCCGTATCATCATCATCATCATAATCATCATCCTCATCATCATCATCATCATCATCATCAGCATCATCAGCATCATCATCATCATCAGCATCATCATCATCCACATCATCATCATCATCATCCTCATCATCATCCTCATCCTCATCCTCATCACCACAACAACCGCCATCATCGTCATCGTCACCAGCATCATGATCATTATCATCATCATCATCATCATCATCAGCATCATCATCATCATCGCCACCACCACCATCACCATCATCATCAGCATCGTCATTATCACCATCAGGATCACCATCACCATCATCATAATCGTCATCATCGTCATCAGAATCATCATCGTCAGCTTCACCATCAGCATCACCATCATCATCAGCATCTTCATCATCATATTTCACCTCCTCCTCCTCCTCCTCGGCATCATCATAATCAACTTCACCACCATCACCATCACAATCACCATCGCCATCACCATGGCCATCATCATCGTCAGCAGCAGCAGCATCAGCATCATCATCAGCATCATGAACATCCTGTTCCTCCTCTTGCTCCACCTTCCCCTCTCCATCCACAGTTCCTCAATACGAACACTATCTCACAAGCTACTCTTCGGGTGGTAAGGAGGACGGGAGGAAAGAGCGTGCATATCGCTTTGCATGCCGAACTGTATTCGTCAGCTTCCATTCACATGTCCGTGTCGAGTGTCTGCTCAACTTGTATGCCGATATGGAATGCGATGATGCACATGTCCACTTCTACTTAGACTTGCACTTTGGCATGCATGCCAACAAGGAATTGGCTGTGCACTTCGGTGTACAAGTCAATTGCCACATGCATTCCATTCGGGTGTGCATCATGACTGGCCTGGTGGTTGCAGCCGTAATTACGGTTAGGTGTGCAGATTGATCTGTAATTCGAGCTGTTTGTCGATTTTCATTTTGAATTGCATGTCGGTGGGAATATCGTTGCAGCTCGTTTGTCGCTTGTTTTTGAATTATTCCGCAGGGCCACATCATCATCATCATCATCATCATCATCATCATCATCATCAGCATCATCATCATCATCGCCATCATCAGCATCCTCATCCTCATCCTCATCCTCATCCTCATCCGCATCCTCATCCGCATCCTCCTCCTCCTCCTCCTCATCATCATCATCATCATCAGCATCATCATCAACATTATCATCATCATCATCACCATCATCATCATCATCATCATCATCATCATCATCATCATCATAACCATCTTGCAACTTCGCCTCGCCCGCACGCACATCCCGAGCCGGAACCGATTCCCAGTTAGGGCTACTTCGCTCACACCCCCTGGCCGCCGACCCCCACCACCCTCGCCTCTCTTCCCCCTCTCTTTATCTCCCTCTCTCTCTCAATCTCTCTCTCCGTCTCTCTCCCCCTCTCTCTCTCTCTCTCTCTCCAGCCCCCTTACAATGTGCAACTGGTGACCCGTCTCTCCCGCGTGCATCTCATACACAAAATCTCAAAAGTTGGTACGTAATATATATATATATATATACGTGTTCAATATGAACGTCTCCTCCCCTCAGAAACACTTCGCCCGCTGCAACGTTGCCCACCTTTCGCGATCGATTGTTTGCTCCGTCGTTCATCATGCAGCTCCCACACCATCGCGGGCAATAATTCTGGATCTGGTGCCGTCTTCGTCAGTGTCGTCCTTTTCCCGTCCCTTCATCCGCCTTCCACTGCTCCCATGCTCATTTCATGCTCCTTCTACTCTTCCTACTCACCCCTCCTCCTCCTCCTCCTCCTCCTCCTCCTCCTCCTCTTCCTCCTCCTTCTCCTCCTCCTCCACCCTCTCTATACTGTGCAAAGCCCACATGCCGATTGTGCGGCCAATGACCTATGAATTGTTGGACACCCTTGCCGGCGGGTGTGGAGATGTGTGCGGGATACACCAGCGGGATGCATCGGGCGACCGGAGATGCGGAGTGCATCGGGTGACCGATGCGAACGCAACTAACTTGCCTGTCTCATATCTGATATACCTCCTTCGCAGCCTCCTATCGAACCCGATAGAACGCAGCTGCTCTCCCAATAGCTGCTCTCAGCAGCCAATCCAAGCTAAACCATGCAAACTCACCTCCTGCCTGCTTTACTCGCCCTCCCTCCCTCCCTCCCCACTCTCCCTCCCCTCTGTCCCTCCCCTCCCTCTCCCCCTCCCTCCTCGATTGCATCCTCTGTTGCTCTTCCCTCCGTGTACCCTCCGGGCCCCATCCCAAGCCTCCTCCCCTTCCCCTTCTCGCTCTCTTCCACACTCCATCCACGCATCCATCCCTTCATTGCCTGCCTCATCTTCCTTCTAGTCGGCCTGATCGGTCTCTCCCCCTATTGTCCTCGTCCTCATCCTCCCCCTTATCATCATCAGCAGCAGCAGCGGCAACACCAGAATCATCATCATCATCATCATCATCATCATCATCATCATCATCATCATCATCATCATCATCATCATCAGCAGCATCAGTATCATCAGTATCATAATCATCATCATTATCATCATCATCACCACCACCACCACCACCACCATCGTTATCATGATCAGCATCCGCATCATCATCTGTAGCCATGTGCCAGCAAGTAGCGTCGCACATGGAGCGACAACGGCGACCAGGGCTTCACCAAGTTAAACCAAGTTTCGCGAAGTGATACCTGGCTGCACCTGGTTGTAGGTAGTTACACGTAGTTGCACCTGATAACACCTAGCTAATTACATGTAATTAAACACAGTTACACTTCGCTACACGGAAATGCACGTGGTTACATGTAGTTAAACCTAATTACACCTACCTACACGTATCTACACCCAGCAACACCTAGAAACACGTGGTTACGCACAATTGTCCATTACACTGCAGGTTTACACGTGCCCCCTCACGTAGTTTCGGATATTGACGCAGCCATTGACATCCCGTTGCCCACAAAATCGCCGATGCATGCGCGTTGGCGCTCGCATTTCCACGCAACTCTCTGAGGGCACGCCCCGATGCGGCACAGCGACGCTAAACCATCAGATGCATATCCACGGGCACGAGGCAAAAAGGAACTTACGTGCAACACAAACCTTTTGCACGGAATTTCGCCCGTCCCTCTAGCGCAGCCTCCGCCGCCGACGCCGACGACGACGATGACTAAAACGACGACGACGATGACGACGACGACGACGACCCGCGACGAGAAGACGGCGACGACGATGAAGACGACGAGGAAGACGGCGGCGACGACGACCAAGACGGCGACGACGACGACCAAGACGCTGCCGACGACGACGACGACGACTAAAACGACGACGACCACCACCACGACGACGACCACCACCACGACGACGACGACGACGATGCCAGCGGTGGCGGCGGACCCCTCCTCCTCCGTCTCCTCCACTGCCTCCTCCATGAGCCGCAAGCTTCCAGGGTCGATCCAGGATCGAGGATCCGGGTTCTGTCGACCACCGAAACCCAAGATCGCCCAAGATTCGAACACCGAAGGTCGAGGGTCGAAGATCGATCGAAGACCGTGGACGCACTGCCGAGGATCAAGAACCCAGGACCAGGGTCTCTGTTCGACCCTCCTCCTTCCTGGACACTCGATGCTCTTTGTCTTTGCCTACGGGGTCTTCGATCGTCGTTCTCCGCCTCCTCGTTCTCCTTCTGCTCACATTCCTCCTCCACCCTCCTCCCTCCTGCTCACAACCACTGGATTATCCATCCTTGATCCTCCTCCTCCTCCTCCTCTTCATCCTCCTCCTCGTCCTCCTCCTATTGCTCCTCCTCCTCCTCCTCCTTCTCCTCCTACTCCTACTCCTTCTCCTCATCCTCCTCCTCCTCTCATCTCTCCCCGCCTCTTCTCTCCTGTCCTGTCTCCCACTTCCGCTTAGAATTACCCTTCTCGTGCCCAGAGTGCCCGCCCACCTCCTCCACTTCTCCACTTGCCCCGTGTCCTCCCGCTTCCCTCTTCCACTCCTCGTTGTTCCTGCCTCCTCCCCTCCTCCCTCGTTCCTCCCCCCGGGACACTCCTCCCACTCTCTCCTCATACAGTCGGGGCGTTGAGCTAAGGAACCCTAAATAAGGAACGGGGCCCCTTCTCCAGAAGTTGAACTTCGATTTCCCTTCGGAAACCAAAGGAAAACCCAAGGCAAACTGTGAAGCAATCAAGGAACATGGAGCCCCTCCCCAACGAAAAGGGTTCCTTCTTCAGGGCACCGACTGTACTCCCTCCCCTGTCCCCGGCCATCCTCCGCAAGCCCTCCACCATCTTCCCTTTCCCCCAAGGCGGGGCTGAGGTCGACATCTGTGGGACGCGGTCCGCGGCCACAATGATCCATAGCACCATCATCGGCAACGTCACCATCACAACTATCATTAGCATCACCCTCAGCAACAACATCATCATCATCAGCAGCATCATCATCCGCAGTATCATCACCATCATCATCATCATCATCAGCATTAGCAACATCGTCATCATCACCATCATCATCGTCATCATCATCAGCAGCAACATCATCATGATCATGATCATGACCATGTTCATGGTCATCATCGTCATCACCATCATCAGTATCAACACCAGCATCAGCATCGTGCCCATCCGCCTCCTCCTCATCATCATCGTCAACAACAACATTATCATCACCATCATCAGCAACAACGGCATCCCGCACTCCCTCATCCTCGTCATCCCCATCCTCGTCATTGTCCGCGTCGTCGTCCTTCTTCTCCTGCTCTTCGAGTCTTCTCATTTTTCGTCCCAGCCGTGCCTCCTCTCTTCGTTTCCTCCCTCCCCTCCCCACCAACTCTTCGCGTTCTTGGACCCTCTTCCACCTCATACTTCCAGCGTTCCTCATCCTTCCTCCCTCCTCCCTCGCTCCCGCTCTCCGTTCTCCCTCTCCTTTCACTCCCGCCATCGCTCCCAGCCGCCACTCCCAATTTCATTCTCGCCTCTCCCTCCTCTTCCGCTTCCTTCCCTTCCTACCCCTCTATCCACCTCCTCCTCCCCCACTCTATCGTCCCTTATCCCCTTCCTCCTCCGCATCCTCTATCCTCTCTCCCGTTCCCTCCTCCTCCTACCCGTGCTCCACCTGTTCCTCCTCCCCTCTCCCCCCCTCCCGATATTGCACCTCCTCATCCAATTTCTCCTCCTCCTCCCCCTCCTCCTTCTTCTCTTCCTTATGTGAACGTTTTCTTTCTCCGCGTTTCGACAGTGTGCGGAAGGGGGGGGAAAGGGGGAGTCTGGCTCCGGACCTCTGCTTAGTGCGACTGTTTGAGACAGTGCCGTCCTGGGAAAACCTTTAAGGGGAGAACATATCGGGGAATCCAATGGGGGGAACCCTCACGTGAAATCCTATGCGGAGTCCTACGGGGAATATGGGGAGTCCTATGCGGTAGTCCAATGCGGGAATCCTATGTGTGAGTCCTGTGGGAAATCTTATGGGGGAATCCTGTGGGGCAATCTCGTGGGGGAAATTCCATCACGAATCCCATGGGGACATCCTATGGAGGGCACTTCTGAGGGGATCATATGGGGGAATCCGAATCCAATTAGAATCCATCTGGAATCTAATTGGAATCTTCGGGATGTACAACTCCAGAGAATCCCACAACAACTGGCTACCCCTGGGGGGCATGTTTTTTTACAGCGCAGGCTGCGCCCTGGAGCCCCTTTCTTGTTTTCCCGAGGACCGCCCCGAAAACACAATGCACAGTTGCGCGAAACAGAGAGTCGCGTGTCCACCAGGGGGGGAGGCGTGCTTACTCCACCTGCTTGAAACAGGTGCTGGAAACGGCCAAGATATACTCCATGGTGAAAGGGGGGGTACGAAGGCTCGCGCCGATCGACAAAACAATGAATAAGAACACGATCATGATCCTTCACCTCGTTCCCGCTGTCTACTCGTACGCATCATTGCCCTCGTCGGCGTCCCCTTCTTCACCCTCAGTCAAACAACCTCCGAAGGCATCAGGCACCACGTGACAGCACCTAGTACTGTTTGAGAACAACCCTGGAGCATCCGGAATCCCCGCAAAAATACGAACTTCGGGAGTGTTGCCCTGCCCGCACGTGGCCCTCCCAGCCCCAGCGTCCCGTGCAGTGGCCAGAACGCTGGGCGCCGCTCCTTGGCGTCGCTGATCGTCTTCTCGAGGTCCCCGATGGTCTGCTCCAGGACCTTCGAGGGCGTCGTCGTCGTCGTCGAACGGTGGCACAGGTGCAGGAGCACAAGCTTCTTGTCAGGAGCAGCTGCCAGCATAAGATGAGAACACTGATGAGCTGCGAACCATGCTTAGCGCTGGTTCAGCAAGATCCCCCGCCTCAACCAAGAGTTGCGCGCAGGCCAGCGTCACTATGCGGCAGTGCCACCCATGAGCTCGCCCAGGAACCCGGACGGCACCCCTTCTCCCGGGCGCACGAGGGCCGCATGCTGCGCTCTGGCCCAGGAAGCGGGCCCCAGGCGCACAGCTTCGCACTCCCCGAGGAAGCGCACGAAGTTGGAGTCGGCACATAGCTCACGAAGCACCGCACACATAGCAGGCTCCTACCCACCAGAAAAAAAATAGGGAGCGCTTGGAAGCGCCTGGGGGAGCGCCTGGGGGAGCGCCTGGGGGAGCGCCTGGGGGAGCGCCTGGGGGAGCGCCTGGGCGAGCGCCTGGGCGAGCCCCTGGGCGAGCCCCTGGGCGAGCCCCTGGGGGAGCGCTTCGGAACGATCTGGAGCGCTCTGAAGCGCCAGGGAACGCCTGTGAACGCCTAGCCCCCTTCCGAGGAGCAGAGGTGCTTCTAAGACGCCGCCCCCCCTCCCCCATAACCCCCCTCTGCGCGCGGCCGAATGTCTGGCAGCGCCCGGGAACGCTCTGGAGCGCTCTGCAAGGGCGCCAAACTTCGCGCTTCGCGCTGCGCGAAGCGCGAGTAACTTTGCGCTCCCGCGCCGCCCCCCACAAGGGAGAGGAGAAAGATGAGGAGGAATCGGAGCTGCACCGCGAAGCGCGAATGACTCCGTGCCCTCGAAGGCGCCCTTGCGGAGCGCTCTGGAGCTCCTGGGAGCACTCTGGAGCGCCTGGAAGCGCCTGGGACTTGTTTGCTGTGGACCACTGCCAGACAAGCGTCCGAAGAGATTGCCGAGCGGGTGAGAAACAGCCACCTGCAAGACGAGGAACGCATCGACTGTGCTCCCCCGGTCCAGGCAGGACTGCCCTGTCTCGGCCTCCCCAATGCTTCAGAGTGATGTGCCCGTGAGGCCCGCCGCACGCTTGGGGGGGCTGTTGTTAGGTCGGGCATGACCTCCTACAGGCGGGCTTTGGTAGACACATCAAGAACAGTCAAAACGAATAAATAATAACCGAAACATCGTCCCAAAACAATATTTTGACAATTTTCGGGGACGCACTGAAACGGGTCAATGCAAACCCGGGTCAGTCAGGCCTTACAAGATCCTGCAAGATCCTGCCAGATCCTGCACCCAAGCCTGGGTCAATGCCACGGACCCTGCAGGATACTGCAGGATCCTGCACCCCAGCCCAGGTCAATGCGACCCTGGCCCTGCGGGATCCTGCAAGATCGGGCGCTCTGGCGGACCCCCGCTTGCACCGACCCCCGTCTCAGGGCTCCCCGATATTTCTTTGACTGCCCCTCCTGTAGAGGTGAGGGGCAACGATAGGGGGGGACTGGCATAGGGGGGGAGGCATCGACCTGGAATCGGCGATGCATCGCCGATAGATCGGCGATAGGCCTCTAATAGCGAGTGCGCACCTTCCTGGGCAGATTGGGGCTATCGGGCCCCTATCGGCGATCAATGGGCGATTGGGGGTCGATGCATCCCCCCCTATGCCTGTCCCCCCCTATCGTTGCCCCTGAAGAGGCAAACGCGCCCGACTCCATTTGAATGCTGGCACTCCCCCGCGCTCCGCCGGCGCCATGCCCGCCCGTGGGCGCACGGGCGGCGAGGGGAGGCCCGTGGGGCGCCTCCCCTCGCCGCCGGAGGGCCGCCGCCAGCGCACCGCCGTCAGCCGCTGAGCAACGCTTCGCCGGTTCCCACCCGGGCTGGGCGTAAACTCTGGGTGGCCCAAAAGGGGGTCCAGCTGAACGGGGGTGGTGCAATAGAGTGGGGGGGGGCAGGTGTATTGCAAACGTACTGCGCCGGAGATTTGTATTGCATTGTCTTGCAAGTCATGTATTGCACGCGAAAATCCAGCAGTAGATTTGCGCCCCAGAATGTGGTGCACGCCCCCAATGTATTGCAACCCCCACAAATGTATTGCACCAAAACTATTGCACCACCACCTTGTCGCTGGACCCCCTTTTGGGTCAATCCGACTAAACGTTGTTTTTTGTGTTGTTTTCGTTGTGTGCGCCCTCTCGGAGAGTGCGAAGCTGTGCGCCCAGGGTCCGCTTCCTGGGGCAAGGCGCAGTATACGGACCCCGTGCGCCCGAGAGAAGGGGTGCTGTCCAGGTGTTTGGGCGAGCTCACTGGTGACAGTAACGCAGGGCTGGACCTAAACGTTGTTTTTCGTTTTGCCTTCGTTTTCTTCTCCGTTTTGCTCTCCCTGTTTTCCTGTACCTCCCTCCCAAAACGAAAAACAAAACACAGCCGAAGTCCAGCAAAACAGCGTTTAGGTCCAACCCTGGTCCCCACGAGGCAGTCCGGGGGTTGGTAAAGTTGCCCCTGGCCAAAAGGTGCCCCCAGCTTTCCGCTGTATCTTGGAACCCCTGGGGCCCTCGAGGCCTCGCGAGGGATGCTCTGGAGGCCGTGAGGGCCTCCCTGGATATCCTGGGGGCACCCTAGGCCAGGGGTACTTCTAGCAACAGCCTCGGGCTTCTTATCAACGGGGCCCAGGGATACACAGATACGTAGACACAGATCCCAGGGTTCCCCACCTTGATTCATCTTTGGGTGTTCGTCTTCCCCTCCACGTCCCCTGGGAATCGACGATTTGTTGTGCCTGTGAGTTGTTGTCCCTCCTGACCCGATCCATTGGACTGACGATCACAAAGGCGATAATTATATTAGGGATGCGCACTCAGAAACTGAGGGTGTCCTTAAGATCAGCAACGAGATGAGGCGATGCCAATCATACGGATAGGGGTCTGTTTCAGGCTGGTAACCTATCCCCCTTGGCGTGGCCTGGGCCCCACTGGCTGATTTACTCCCCTGGATGGGGATGTAGGCCGTTGCCTTCGGGTTTCGAGGGGCACATCCCCTCCCCAACTGGGGTGGTGAGATGGGTGGGCTTGGGATGGGGATGGGGATGGGAAGCACTCTCTCGTGCCATGCGCCGGAGCGCGTGGGCGGAGGAAGGTATCGCCAGCCTGTTCTCACCGCTCTGCGGACACAGCGGCACGCTGGCGGTTGACCAACTTACACTGCGAGTGGCAGGAGGAGGAGGAGGAGGAGGAGGAGGAGGAGGAGGAGGAGGGAGGGCGAGGAGGGGATTGGGGATAGGGATCGGTGAAACGAGCTTGAATCGCTCCTCGCCCCCCTCCCCCCCTGGGGTTCGGGCCCCGCGGCTCGCGGGGCTCCCTCGCCACCGAAAAACCACGACCGCGGCGCCGCCGACCAATCGTCGACTACAGTCGGACTCGACTGGACAGGACACGCGGGAGGACACAAGACCCTTCCGAGGGCCACACGGCCACAGAAATGTAGGACGCATGGGCCGCGAGACACGGGACACACGGGCACCCTTGATGTGGCAGGGTCGACCTACTAATCTGGGCCGACTTCATCGTCCTGCAGGACCAAACCCGGAAGCCGGGCAAGGGCTGCTAAATCTGTGGCTGCTCAAATCGACCGCCGGGAAGTTGCCTTCGCCCTTCCGGGAAGAAGCCCGTTGACTGTTTCGAGTGCCGCGCCTCCTTCCGCGGGAAGTTGTTCTCTCCCTCCGGGAGGGCCGTTTCAGCAGCCACGGTTTTAGCAACCCTCGCCCAGCTTTCGACACACAGCTGCACAGACAAAACCGCTCGGAGGCCCAGGCGGACTTCTTGCCTTTGCGCGGGACCCCCCGCTCCTCGCCATCGCTCGGACGTCCATTCCCTGTGTTTGTTTGTAGGTTTCGTGCGTGGTTTTTTCGCCAGATGATCGAGGATGCTCCTCGACGGCCCTCGCCGAAGGAAAAACGCACACGTCCGAGCGATGCCAAGCCCCCCCCCCCTCCCTGGCGCGCAGAGGGGGGCCCAGGGCCGACCCGAGCACTCCGCGCGCGGACCGTCGGCCGCTCACCGTCTGCACACCGCTGCCGCCTCTCCCTCGGCGGGGGCAGGGCGCGAGCGTTACGTCGGGCGTGTCCCCCTACAGGGGGATTGTCGACGGAAGAAAAATACCCCCAAAGTACCACGAAAAGGTCAAACAATACTCCCAAAAGAGTCCCCAGACTATTTTTGGACTATGTTTGGATTATGTTTGGTGTATGTTTTGTTTTTCGTCGAAAATCCCCCTGTAGGGGGACAGGCCCGACTTAACGCGAGCGCCCAGAGGCTGTGAGCACGAGCCCCGGCAGCTCGGCCTCCAAGGCGCTGCGCGCGGGCCCGGGAGGCGCTGCCCAGGAGCTGCAGACGAGCCCGGAAGCGCTGCCCACGAGCTGCCCGGCAGCCGACGGGTAGGGTGCCCCCTTCCCCGCTGCGCGAAAGAACGCTGCGAGGCTTCCGCCCGCCCAAGCGCAGACTGGGCGCGCCTTCTTCTCGTCGTCGCTCACGTCCAGCTCCTTCTCGCAGTACGCCTTAGGAAGGCGCTGGCTACCCGTCCTCCTCATCCTCCTCCTCCGCCTCCGCCAATTCCTCAACGTCCTCCTTCTCCTTCTCCTCCTCCTCCTCCTCCTCCTCCTCCTCCTCGTCGTCGTCCTCCTTCTCCTCCTCCTCCTCCTCGTCGTCGTCCTCCTCCTCCTCGTCATCACGATCACGATCATGATCACGATGATGATGCTGCTGATGATGATGATGATGATGATGAATATGAACATGAAAATGAACATGCTGATGATGAATATGAATATGACTATGATGATGCTGGATGATGGTGGTGGTGACGATGGTGATCCTGATCATGATCATCGTCATCACCAACAACAGCAGCAACACCATCAGCGTCGTCGTCAAACTCATCATCATCCTCATCATCATCCTCATCATCCCCATCATCCTCATCACCATCGCCACCACCATCATCTCTACCTTCATAAGCATTACCACCACCACCACCATCACCATCATCATCATCATCATCATCATCATCATCATCATCATCACTATCGTCATCATCATCAGCATCGTCGTTACCATCATCATAATCAGCACCATCATGTTCTTCATCATCATCACCATCACCATCACCATCACCATCACCATCACCATCACCATCACCATCACCAGCATCAGCATCAGCATCATCATCACCACCATCATCATCACCATCAGCATCACCATCATCATCAGCAGCAGCAGAGCATCAGCATCATCATTATCAGGATCACCATCATCATCATTATCGTAATCGGCATCCTCATCAGCATCAGTATCATCATCACCAGCATCATCATCATTATCACCATCAGCATCCTCATCATCATTATCATCACCACCATCACCCTCACCCTCACCCGTTCCCCCACCACCACCATCGCCATCGCCATCACCATCTTCCCCTCTCCCTCCCTCCCTCCCTCCCTCCTTGACCCCCTCCTACTCCTCTATCCCTCCTCCTCCTCCTCCTCCTCCTCCTCCTCCTCCTCCTCCTCCCTCTCCTCCTCCTCCTCCTCCTCCTCCTCCTCCTCCTCCTCCTCCTCCTGCTCCACGTCGGACGTCGGGCCTCTCGGGCGCCCGCGGCCTCGGAAGGCCGTTCTCTCTAAGAACCTGGGGCCACCGGACGAGCATCCGCTGCGATAGACCGGCCCCCTTGGCGTGCGGCCGAGAGCATGGGAGGAGGTGGAGGAGGAGGAGCAGGATGTTGAGGAGAAGGGGATGCTCGTCCGGTGGCCCCAGGGCCTTAGAGAGAACGGCCTTCCGAGGCCGCGGGCGCCCGAGAAGGGCAGGGAGAAGGAGGAGAGGGATGACGAGAAAGAGGGAGAGGTGGAGGGCACCACCTGTCCACCTGCACCAACCCTGGCCGCTCTCCAGGACCCAGGGATCCGCGCGACTAGGCCAACATCCTGCCATGACGGCCCGAGCTCCCGCTCCTGCATTCGCGTGCATCGTTCTGCCTTGAACGATCTCCGTTGTCGGGGTCCTGCAGGAAGTTCTGGGCCTTGAACGCGCGTGTGATTGCGGCCCTCTTGCTGAATGGCAAGCACCTGCAAAATAGGCCGGCCTGAGTTCAAGCCATGCTGGCATGTCAACCGATCCCGGGTCCAAAAATGAGCCTGGTCAGGGTCAGAGCTGGCGTCGCTCGACCCGTGGGAGTCCTTCGAGAACCATCGAAAACCTCCCGAGGCCCTTGGGACACCTCCGAAACAGATCCACACGCCGTCCAGAAACAGCCAGCGACGTCCGCAAACCTCCGAATGCCGCCGACGAAGTAACAAACTCCCAACAACCGATTTTTTGTTTAAAATCATCTCTGATGACACTCCGAAAGCAACCGAACTCCTTCACAGAGCACCGAAACACTTTTGGAACAAAAACGACAAAAACGCAAACGGCCACGGCAAAATCTCCGACAAACAGCAAACAGTGAACCCTACCCCCGCAAGTCAGGTTCCTGACACGCCGGCTCTGTTTATAATCCAAAGGCTGCCTGTAAGTAAGTGGGCGCCGATCGACACCGGGTTTTGCGCAAATTGCATAGCGACCTCATGCGGCGGCTTGGCGGGCCACCAGCGCGGCACGCTAGAATGCAGACCAGGGCGCTTACGCGCAGCCTTACGCAGGACGCTTACGCGCCAATGTCGGCGCAGACGATCCCGTATTCCATCGTCGTTATCAACTGGATATGGCTCGATGGCCGCCCCAAGGAAACGAGGGGAAACGAGGGGAGCGAGAGAAGCTCCCCACGTCTCCCCCCTCCCCGGCAAAAAAAACGCACACGCCATGTGTCCGCCAACTTTCCTCACCCGTTTTTTTTTTCGTCGCCCGAATGAGCCCCAGCTGAAGTTTCTGATACCCCAGCGTAGATTGCGAAGGAGGCCCCCGCGCCTTCTCGGAAGGCCGACCTCCCCCCTCGAGCCAGTCCCACTGGGGGGCCGCCGAAATCGGAGTCGCAGGGGTGGGGGTCGCAAGTAGACGCAGACCTTGAACAACTCACAAAGGAGCTACCCGCAAATGACCTGGATCCGCCGCGGGGGTTTTACGATCCATGCCATATAAGAAGACATGTTTGCCGGAGGTTTCCGAATGGGCACTTTACGAGCAACGGAACGCGCGCGGTGAGATCTGAAGAACCTTCGCGAGGAGGCCTGCGAAACGCCCCCGAATCGAAAAAAACACTCGACTTTGGAGGACTCCATGCGGAGTGGGGATCTAGTTATATCCGAGGCCTGGGGGGGCCGATGTCCTGGGACCCCATGGCGCGGTGGATATCGACGCGCATGGGCTCCGCGGGGCCCAAATACATGTCCAGCGCCTGCTGGCGCCCCCGAAGATCGATCCCAGAGGCGGCGGTTATGGATGCATCCCCGCCTCGGACTCTCGAGTTGACCTGACAGGGCTGTCGGATAATGACGCGTCCAAATGCGAAACGTGTCCAACGAACAACGGGCCGTCAAAATCCAGGACGCGCCCGCAAAATGGTTTCGACAAGCTGGAAATTAAGCGAACTCGACTGTAAATAAATCTTCTCCTATAAATTCACGTGTACACTTGGCCTTGACGGTCTGGCAGGGCGGGCGGCTTCGGGGCCCGTTGAAAATCCCGCTGCGCACTGGGCCCCTCCGCTCCGCCCCCGGCCCCATCGTCGACGATGCTCGCTCGATGCTGCGCCGCGCAGAAAACGAACCCGCGCGCTGAGGATGCGCGATAACGATGCGCCGCTGCAGTCTACGCCGGGGCGCGCGGGCGCACGCAATGCCCGTCCACGGAAAATGCCCAATCAAATTTGCCTGCCGCGCACGCCTGCGCGCTCGTCTACCCGGGCGGCCTCTCTCTCTCTGCAGCGTCGTCGCCATCCATTCCGGGGGCGCCCCGCCGCGCGGACAGAACGCTGCGCTGCTGGTCTCGACGATGTCCAGCGAATCAGCGCAAGGGTTCCGACGGGGCCCAAGTCCCGGGATCTCGCTCAGCCCCAAGCAAGTCACCGGCCACAGAGAAAACCGCGATGAAGCGGCTGACAGGATGCCCTCCGCACAGCGGTCTCGATCGACGTCCGCGGCGCGCGCGATGGCTGGGTCCTCAGAGCGCCGCACAAACGACGACAATGCAATCCAGCCACGCGTCTCGTCTCTGCGGCGCTCAGCCAGGCCGAATTGAGACCGCGCGACGAACAGCTGAGAATGATTGAAAAAAACGCTTGCAAATTCCGCGCGATTGATAATGTTGCCCGCTGTCGAAATAATGAGAATGCAATAAAATCACGCCGCGCGTGGGTTTCCCCCCTGGCGAGCCCTCGTTTCGCTCGTCTGTCGGCGCGGATGTCGGCCCCCAGGTAGTGCGCGAGCTCGACTGTTTGAATGCTCTCGCCGCCAGGTGTCCGTGGCGAGCGTTCCTTTCGCGCGCCGATCAATGGGAATTTCAGCCAGCGCAGCTCTGTCCCATACCCAGCGACAGCGCGCGCGACCCGAATAACCTTTGGACGCGCTGCCGCTGCCGCCAATGATGAGGGCGTCGTCCGCGCAGGGCATGACATCGGGACCTCCATCTTGAAGCGCCAAGCGATGGCGAGCTTGTCGCGTCGTGGGTGGCAACTGTCATGAACGCCGCGAAATGGAATGGTGACAGCGGGCGCCCCTGCGAAATCCCAGACAACTGCGGGCGCCAGCTGGACGTCCAGCTTGGCGCTGAACCTCCGGTCGGCGCAAATGCGCCGAATCTTTCCGACGAAAATGCGAGGCAGACCGAATCGCCAGAGCGCCGACGTTGATGGAAATGAACTCCCGGTGCAAACCATGAGCAACCATGCCATCTTTGCCGCGCGTGGGAGCGCGCGCACGATCGATGCGTCGCCGAACCCGAGGGTTGCGCCACTCGTGCACCGACCTCTACAGAAGCCGAGCTGCGCGCGAGTCGAGCTCCCCTCCGCCCTGGCACGTTGCAAACGTGTCAAGATGAACGAAGCGAAAAAAGTTATGCGTAACGCGCGCAAAGCTAATCGCCCGTAGTTGCCACAATTCGACATGCCCACTTTCCTGCGCAGACCTGCGACGTTGGCCGCGCGACCAACGTCTGGGACAGTTTCCTGAATCCAGCATTGCTTGCGCAAGTCAGCGAGCCATTGCGGGCCCTTGTCTGCGCTTGCCCCTGCTTGCAAGTACTGGCAACAAATATCAGGACCATGTGCTTTCTGGGCCCTTCAATGTTTGCACTGCCCCGCCGATGTCCTCGATAGTAATGTTGCCTTCGTCTGCGGGAAGCGGCTCGCCCATGCCTGGCCCCTCGACGAGTTCTGCAGGCCGCGCGCGTCATTGAATCGTCGAAATGGTCCGCAATCGTTTCTGCCCATCCGCCGCTGCCAACCAGAACTCCATCACGATCCCTCAGGCGGCTGCTTGTCGGCATCTCTGGCCTCCTGCACGCCTCGAAGGCTTGCCAGTCTCTCGTCTGCAATCGCTGCTCCGACCGCCTGGTTTTGTCGAGCTTCGCCCGCCTGCGCGCCGCGTGGATGCCCAGGGGTTGGAGAGCGCCCTTAAGCATCGGCCCTTTCCCAGGCATGGCGCTCGATGCCAATCAGGAGGAAAAGAAACACACAGACACAATTAATCGTCGATTCCCCAGAAAATATGGGAAAATATGGGAAGTAGGGGGGAAGACGAAAACCCAGAAAATATGGGAAAATATGGGGAACCATTTTATTTGTGTGTATTTATTTGTGTGTCCTTGGACCCCTTCAGAATTGGAGAGCGTCCTCAGGCATGCATGGCTCGTTCGCCCGCCGGGATCTCTTCGGGGAGCGCCTCGGCTGCTCTGTCCATATGGCAAATCTTGTATGGGGACCGCATGCGAACCCTACCCGTGCCCCCCGCGATTTCTGAGGGGGTGGGTGGGAAATCTCAAGGTAAGGACGGCCCTTTGGCACGAAAGTGGGAACTCTCAAGATAGGGGACCGCATGCGAACCCTACCCCTGCCCCCCGGTCCCCTATCTTGAGATATTCCCACTTTTGAGCCTAAGGGCCGTCCCACAGATCTGCTTCCACACTTCCATTGCAAACCTCGGCAAAGAGTTGTGTTGCGCAGCCCTTCCGAGAACTGCAGCGTTCCTCCGTTTCGGCCGGGCCCGGCGCTGATATGCAATCTTCAAGTGAAGCGTGGTCGTCACCAAGATACGGTATGTGGCGAAAGGGCCGATGATTCCGAGTTCGCGGCGCAGACTGAGTTCAACATGTCATCGTCGCACAAAAAGCAAATCTAGCATGTCCCACCACGCCCACGACGTCCCCGGGGCCATCTCCGGGCTGAACATAAGAAGCCTTGTCCCCGGCCGTCCCCTCGAAAATCGGGCTCGCGACGAGCGTGGCGCTGGCGACGCAAACCTCGCCGAGCAACTCCCGGTTGGGAATCTCGCCTTCGTGGGAGGCTTCTGTGCCGATCGTGCGGGGTCCTATTGCGTCCTCCTCCCCAGCATTGCTCTTCCTGAATTTCGTGTTCACGTCGCCGACAATTTAATATCCAAAATTTGTGGAATAACGCTTGTGCTCTGCTGCAAGAGGCAGAGAAAAGTGCACCCGCTGGTCCAAATAGTTGAGATCGCGCGGAGCGTAAACACATATCATTCCGAAGACGCCCCCGCGGACGCGATTCGGTCCAACACCTGCTCGTAAGACTTTACACAAAGAAACAGCTTTGGGTAAATGATGAATCCAAGTCTGTTCCAAGACCTGTCTGCGCCATCCGTCCCCGACAGTGTGTTCAGATGACCCTCCTCCCATTGCGTTTCTCCCCGCTTCCCGAATGCATGATATCTAAATATAGTAGACATCCGTTTAACAAGTTAGCTCCAAAAGCTTCAGGTCGGTGAGGCCTTTGACATTCCAAGTGCTGCACGTCAGAACACCTGAAACATCGCGGCCCCATCTCTGACCCCCCACGCGAAAGCTATTGTTGGCATGGGGTGAAACGTCGTCCACGCGCCCTCGAGCCCATCACCGGCATCCATTTCACTCAAAAGGCCGTGCAAGCGGCACGTCTCGATCCCAGCCCAATGGTGTCCCTGCTAGCCGCGTGTTCGAACGGGGCGGCGGGGTAGTGAACATCGCGGCGAGGAGCGGCGAGGAGATGGTGCCGAACCAGACTAGAACGCGCAAACGCAGTATCTCTATGATGCTCGGCGGGACGAAAAGCGCTTGACCTTTGAGCCGATCCTTGAGCCATGTTGGAAAGCCATGTTGACGCCTTTCGAGTGGGGCTGGCCAGCGAAAGCGGCTAAGGATAGGCCAAAGGGGAAGGATGCAAGGGCAACCGTGGAAAATTGCTCATCCTTACTATGCGGGTTTACTGTAAGCATTTTTTGGCCCGAAGAGCCCATAGGGGGCGAAACGCGTAGCCTCGTTCTCGTCGCTTGCAACTCGACCCAAGACACAAAAGCGCTCCACTTCGTGCTTCGCGCTGCGCCAACGCGCGAATAACTTCGCGCTCTCGCGCCGCCCCCAAGGGAGAAGAGGATGATGAGGAGGAATCGGAGCCAAACCGCGAAGAGCGAAGCGCGAAAAACTTCGCGCCCTCGCGCCACCCCCCAAGGGAGAAGAGGAGGATGAGCCGGAATCGGAGCCGAACCGCGAAGCGCGAAGAACTTCGCGCCCTCGAGGGCGCCCTTGAAAACATGTGCGAAGTCGAGTGCTGCGCTTCCCTGGCCCAAGAGAGCCCATCGATCCAGCGCCCCCCGGACGCCTTCTTCTCGTCGTCGGCGGACTGCTCCTGTGGGCGCGCGCGCGCGAGTTCGGCTACACATAAGAGTGACCCGAGGCAAGAGTAACCTTTGGTGCGCGGCTTTCGGGGGCCGCGGGGAGGCCAAACCCGAGCGCGCACGCCGCTGCGATCGCATTGGACTCGGCCATCTGAGGGCCCCATTGGGCCGGCACGTCACTCCGGCGAAAAGTCACTCATACGTGTAAACGACGAGTGACCCCGCGCAAGCGTGCTGCCGGCGCGCGCGCCCCGCGCCCCCAAGCGCAGTGCACAATTTTGCACCATTTCGTTCCGACTCGTGAACACAAGTCTGAATTACTCCACTAGGGCCGATGTCTCGGCCCGAGTCGTCTCTTGACGGTCCCGGGGCTGGGCGAGGCCCCCAGGGGCCGGAGGCTACCAAAAACGGCCCAATCCAATTTGTTCTAGTAGAGCCTCTGAGGTGGGGTCCGAGCAGATGAAATCAAAAGATCGCGCCGCATCGCCGATGTATCAGCGATGCATCACTGATGCATCGACGACGCATCGGCGACGTCGGCGAAGCATCGGCGCAGTCGGCGTGGAGAAACTCGGGCTCCACACCGAGCCGTATCGGCGATGCCCACCCAATCCTTATCCTCCTTCTGACGTTGCACAGACTCTGGCACACGGGTGAGCTGTAACGATGTTCCTCCTCCTCCTTTTTCTCTTCCTCCTCCTCCTCCTCCTCCTCCTCCTCCTCCTCCTCCTCCTCCTCCTCTCCTCTCCTGCTCTCCGCCTGCTCCTTCTCCACCTCCTCCTCCCCCTCCTCCCCCACCACATCCTCCTCCTCCTCCTCCTCATCATCATCATCATCCTCTCTTACTCCTCCGCCTCTCCTCCTACTCATCCTCTTACTCCTCCCTCCTCCCTCCTCCTCCTCCTCCTCCTCCTCCCCCTCCTCCCCCTCCTCCTCCGCCTCCTCCTCCTCCTCCTCCTCCTCTTCCTCCGCCTCCTCCTCTTCCTCCGCCTCCTCCTCCTCCCAGTTTGGTGTCCTTGCCCGATCGCGGGGCGCCAGGGGTGCCAGTCCCTCCCCTCCCCCTCCAATTTGCTCCTCCGTCGTGCCTCCCCCCCTCCACACCGGGGCTCGAGCTAAACTGTGTTGTTCGTATTCGTTTCCTTTTCCTTTCTGCGAAACGAATTTGAAACGAAAACGGCACACGAATCGCCAACACACCATTTAGCTAGAGCCCTGCTCCCTCCTCATGCCTCCCCTCGTCGCCGTCGCTGTCGTCGTCGTCGTCGTCGTCGTCGTACGACGACGGCGGCGAGCAGGAGGGCGAGCGGGAAGAAGACATGGAGAGGGCGCGGGAAGAGGAGCAGCAGGAGATCCTTTTGTTCCTGATCCCTCATCATTGCCACCGCCTCGAGCCTTCTCCCTCGTCCTCCGCCCTGCACCTCTTCATCCGAATGTCACGAGCGCACCTCCAACGTCAACGCTCACAAACTCAACACTTGCAAGACGCGGCAACCGACACAACCAACGCGCCTAACATGCGCAATGTGCATGCGTTCGCGCCCTGGCGCCATCACGCACACCATGTGCCCACTATGGTAATGAGCGCGTGCATACAAACGGTGCCCATCACACGGGTGCATGCAGCAAAAGCAGCAACGCTTCAAGCAAACACTCAGTACAAACCAAACTCAAACGCGCAAGCGTGCATAATCCAATTACCATGGACATGAGCGCGTGAACGCAAACGCCTTCTCCACTCGGACGTCGGCATACTTATGTTTCCCTACGTACGCGTGCAAATGAACATATTCAATGGCCACTCCATATGGCGGTACGCGCATCGCGCGTACGTGAATGCACGGCGTCCTGAACGCCAAGGTAACGAACGGCACATAACACCGAACACTGCTTCCCGTTAAAAGCGTTGATTCTCCGCGGCAGGAGCGCGATGTGAACTGTTATCGTTGCAATGCATATGAATCCCTACCATTTCGGAGCACAGCGTTCGCGCCTTGATGAGCAGTGCCACCATATCGTCGATCATTTTGATAACCTGTGCTGCATGCTCTGGCAATACTTGCCATATCCCACTGGCCAAATGTTATTATTGATTCTCTCTCTACATATATATATGTGGCAACCTCTGCGTGGATTCAGACCTCCACTGCTCTCTCCATCTCTCTCTCTCTCTCTCGTGCTTTCGTTCTCTCTCTCTCTCTCTATCTCTCTCTTTCTCCCTAGCTCCATTCCTCCCTCTCTCTCTAACATATCTTGGTCAACCAATACATCCTGCTACTCATGTTCATGGCTTCTGCGTCTCCTATTCTAAGCCGTCTCTGTACCTTGCCTCTCGCTGTGTGTTGAGTGTTGGCTTACCGTGATCCACTTTTGCTGCTAATATGCACGCTGCATGTGTCCACTACCGTGCCGCGAGGCAGTACAGGCCCTGGACCCCAGAGTTCCACGATCGTCTGGGTGACCTTGGGCGCTGCCGAAATTTGGCCGCGTATTTGTTTTCAAGAGGCCTCAGGATCGCGCCTGTGGGTCTTAGGACTTGTCCAAGTCAGCGGGCGCAAGCGAGTCGAGGCTGGTGCAGGCGCTGGTCGGGCTACGGGCGGGACAAGCCAGGAACTGACTGGGGCGCAGAAGCGAAGGAGAACGCGGGAAGAGCGAAGGGACGATCCGCTCAGAACATAAGGCCCATCGCGGGCGCGCCGAGGGAGAGCAAGGTCGGACGGGGCTAGGGCGAGAATAAATCCGTTCAGAGCGTTCTGGCACGCTCTCAGAGCGGTGCGGAAGGCTCTGAGAAGGCCGGGGCGCCCGAGACATCTTCTAGAGCTGCTGCATCTCAAATATTCTCGATGTATCCTCACCCGATTTTATCCTCGTCCTGGCTTCGCCTTACAAGACGCAAGTGTGGGTCTAAGCATCCAACAAGCCGTCCTAAGGATCCGCGCTGGAGACCTCTGGGAAATTCCGTGGCCCATCATGAAGCCCCGGGGGCCAGCCCAAGCCCTGGGGGCCAGCCCAAGAGGAGGCCACTTTCATTGAGCATCATAAGATCATACCGTATCATGAGGACGCACGATAAGGATGCAAGGGCCTTGGAAGGTCACTGCGAAGTTTTTCCATCGGGGCGCGGCCAACGAAAGTGGCCAAGGATGGACCAATGAGGCAAGGATGCAAGGGTACCCTTGCTAAGGTTGCCCATCCTTACTATGCGGGTTGACTGTATGATTTCTCATTGGTTGGAGCATTCCCGCCTTTTTGGTGTGGAGGGCGTCCCAAATGGCTCCAAATGCGCCCCAGATCGTCCCACGATGGCGCTCGAGAGGCCAATGGCCCAAGATGGCCCAACTCGAGCTGGCGTTAGGAGCCCCCCCCACAAAGACCAGTATCGAGACCGCCATCAGGCTTCCAACAGACGCCTACGATGCTCCCATAGGCCCCCAAGAAGCCTTCAAGAGGCCATTGGAGGGAAGAAACTTCTGGTCCACGACCCAATCACGATGACGGGATGAGCAGAGGGCCATTATACTCAATGCCAGGCCTCTTTGTCCCACATTGCTCTACACATGCATTGGCTCCTCTTCGCAATCAAGATCCACCTCTCCAGTTGTAGACGGATACTAATATGCATGTTATGCGCGTTGAGAGTGTCCATCTCTGAATGGCACAAATTCCATATTACCGATGATGCCATCGCAATATATCATTGCTGTCGTAGTGTCCGCACTCTCGTTCTCACTCTCCGTCTTTTTCTCCCTCTCTCTCTCTCCGCATGTTCATGTATATGCGTATCTCTCTTTACCTTTTCTCCCTCTCCTTCCCGTTGTTTCTTCTCTCTGTATCCCTCCCGTTTTCTCTCTCTCTCTCTCTATCCACAAGTTGTCAGGCAATCTGCCCAACTTTCGAACTTACGCGTGCCATCTGCTCTCCGTGGACCAAATGTACTCAACATGCCCATGTACCCATATCTTTGCACGTCAACCAGCATGCGCATACTTGGTCCTCACCTTGCCTGTCTGTCCGCTCCGTCTTCTCTTCGGACCCCCCTCCCTCCCGTTCTCGCCCTCCCGCCATCCCTCTCTGTCTCTCATTACCCGCTCACCCTCTCCCTTCCTGATTGTCTCGCTCCATCTCTCTCTCTCTCTCTCTCGCTCTCTCTCTCGCTCTCTCGCTGCATCTCGCTCTCTCTCGCTCTCTCTCTCTCTCTCGCTCTCTCGCAGCCTCTCGCTCTCTCCCTCTCTCTCTCTCTCTCTCTCTCCGCGTACCCCAGCAGAGCACCCCCAGCGCCAAGGACTGGGGCTGGCATGGGGGTGAGCGCACGCCCCCTGCGCGCCACGGCCTCGAAAACACCAGAGCCCCCCCCCCCCAATGTACAGGGAGCCCAAAGAGGACGTACGCGCCCAGCTACGTACATGAACACGGCCCCTCGATCCGCGAGACCGCCCGCGTGATACAAACATTCGCGCAATGCGTACTCTCGAAACCAGCGTGGATTCATGTACGTGTACGTCCTTCTTTCGCTCCGGAATGCAGTGCTCGAGTCCGTGGTAACAGTGGTTCTGCACTGGCCGTCCTGAACATGCGCTTCCGGCCCTGAGAAGTGCCCAAGCATGAACGTCAGGACTCTCGCATCATCAGGGGGAAGATGGTGGGTTCCAGTTTTGGCCTGAGCACGCCCCCTGGCAGAAACGTGTGCTTGCAGAGTGTTCTCGTGGGACGACTTGGCCACAGAAAGAGCCACGAGACGCTTCTGCGCCAAGTGGCGCTACGCTGCACCCCCTTGAAGCACAGTATGCATCAACAGCGATGCTGGCGTTAAGTCGGGCATGTCCCCCTACAGGCGGATTTTGGACGAAAACAAAAACTCAAAACATACTGGAACATACTCAAAAATGGTCAGAAAGTCGTCCACCGACTATCTTTTTACTCAGTCAATCAGTGGAGCCGCGCCGCACGGCGCATCGGCTAAACAGCACGGGATTGAATTCAGCAGTTCTGGTACATAAGCGCTCAGAAAGCGTATGGCATGGCATGGATGGCATGGATGTCTGCGTGCCAGCTCCGGTGACTGGGGCGGTCCCCTAGAGGGCAGACCGTGCGTTGAGCAAGTCGGAGAATGAATGAGGCAACACGCACACACGGGAAAAATGCGGTCACCATCTTTGAATGTTCCTCCTGCAGAAGGGGCACGCCCGACTTAAGGCTACGCTGCACCCTCTTGAAGCACTGTACGCATCAACAGCGATGCCGGCGCTTCCTCGGAGGACCTCCGCTCCGTGCGCGGGTGCGCGTGCTCCAGAAGCGCCCGTGTGCGGGCACGTGCTCTCCAGAAGCGCCGCGGTGCTCCAGAGGCGCCAGGTGCGGCAGGTGCGCTGCGCGCGCCAGGGGGGGGGGGAGAGTGAGGATCGGGGGGGCGGAGGAGGAGGAGGAGGAGGAGGAGGAGGAGGAGGAGGAGCGCAAGATTCGGGTTCGAGGGACTCGAGCTGGCCCGACGGGGCCGTCAGAAAAGTGGCGAGCCCCAGCCTGGGGTGTGGCGCGAGCTCCCGCTGCAAACTTCCCACGGGCACTGGACCCTCATAATCCAGAGACGGGCCGTCAAGAGGCGCTGGCGAGGATGACCGGATCTGGATCTCAGAAGCGGGATGTACTCGTTTATGTCCAAACCATGCTGTGGTGTGAGGTCCTCTTTTGAAGAGACGGCGCCCCGAATCTCCTTCCTTCCTTCCTTCCTTCCTTCCTTCCGTCCTTCCTTCCTTCCTTCCCTCCCCCCCGCTGTCCCCCCTGCCCATCCCTGCATTTCCATCCGCACGTCAACCCCTTCGGGACACCCTTCACAGCGCTTCGTGTTCGCATGGTAAGCTCCACCGAAGGCTCCAGTGGCCTCGGCCGCATGTCTCTCCCACCCACTACAGGACAACCCTCACGCGCTTCGTGAACACATAGGGAGCTCCACTGGAAGCGGTATCCACAACGCGGTATGCACAACTGCAGATGGTTGGGTCCTTCGCAAGGATATTGATCTTTCTAGAATTTACTGATTGCACTTCGATTTGACCACCTGGTGCATGGGAGTCCACGCCCAGCCCAGCAGGGGGGGGGGAATAGGTAGGAGGGGGTGGGGAATAGCAAACAATCGCGCTCGGGAAACCAAATTCTGCCTCCACCTTCCCCCGGGGGGAGGAGGGTAGACCACCAACTATTCTCCATCTGAGCGACGACAAAAGAAACGTGTCTTGCGCAAGATGGCATGGTGGCCCTACGCCGCGGCTTCCGCGGACAGCCAGCGCGGCACGCCGCCGTGGAAACGAGGGCGGCTGCGCGCGACCTGGCGGGGGCAGCATACGCGCCCAGGTCGGTGAAGACGACAACGTTTTCTCGACGTGGCCCATCTGGCACTGATCAGGCTGGCGCGCCGAGCCACCCTGGGCCACCAAGCGCCGCGCATCCAAGCGCGCCCAACTTCGTTCTTCGCGCCGCGCGAGGCGCGAATCACTTCGCGCCCTCGCGCCGCCCCCCAAGGGAGAGGAGGAGGACGAGGAGGAGTCGGAGCCCGGGTCAACGCGAAGGATCCTGCAAGATCCCTGCAAGATCCTGCACCCAAGCCCAGGTCAACGCGACCCTGGCCCTGCAGGATCCTGCAAGATCGGGCGCTCTGGCTGACCGCCGTTTGCATCGACCCCCGTTCGGGCGTTGGCAGAACTGGGTTTAGTGTGACCTGGTTTAATGATGTGTACCGGGGGCGCCCCCCCGTCCCATTTCCACTGACCGGAACTGCCGTCACCCGAAGAGCACAAGCCATGGCAAACCTGGTTTAGTGATTCTGGCCAATTCCCAGGCTCTTGGGCCCTGCCACTAACCGGGTCCCCTTACCCGGGGTCCTGGCCATACCGGAGTGGGCCCCGGCGGAGCAGGAAGGCCACCCCTCCGGCCCAGGCCGCCCCAGCGCGCCGCGCGGCCGTGCGCGCACGGCGGGGCGTGTGAGCTTCGGCGCCGCGCGCCTCGGGGGCGTCCCCAGGAGCGAAGGGGGCGTCCGAGAGGGGGGGCTCGCAGAGCCTGGCCCGAGGCACGTGTGCGGCCGCAAGGGGGGCCAAGGGGGCAGGAAAAGGGACTCCACCTCCCTCGTGCCCTTTCTCCTGCATCCTCCTCCTCCTCCACCTCCTCCTTCTCCTCTGCTCCTCCTCCCTCCTCTTCCTCCTCCTCCTCCTCCTCCTCTTCTTCTTCTTATTATTATGATTATGTTTGCTATTCTTCTTCTTGTTATTATTATTAATATTATTATTATTAGTATTGCTATTATTATTGGTATTATTATTAATATTACTATTAATATTATTATCAGTCTTATTAGTATGAGTCTCCTTCTCGTTATTATTGTTATTCGGCTTATTATGATTCTTCTTCTTATTATTATTATTGTTTTTATTGTTAATATTATCATTCGTAGTATGATGTTTCGTCTTCGTCCGTTCATTATTCTCAGTATTTGTCTGCTTCGGCTGATGCTTCTGCTTATGATTCTGCTTATGCTTCTTCTTATTATTATTATTCGTCTTATTAAGACTATTGTTAGTATTATTCTTCCTCTTCCTCCACTTCCTCCTCCTCCTCCTTTTCCTCCTCCTCCTCCTCCTCCTCTTCTTGATTATATTATTATCCTCCGTATTTCTAGTGCTACTAACATTACGATGGTCATCATCATTCTCAGTATCAGTATCAGTATTATTATTATTTCTATTAATATTATGACTATGATGAGTATGATGATTATCAGTAGTAGTAGCAGCAGCAGCAGCCGCAGCAAAAGTAGTAGTAGTAGTAGTAGTAGTAGTAGGAAAAGTAGCAGTAGTCGTAGTCGTAGTCGTAGTCGAAGTAGTAATAGTAGTAGTAGTAGTAGTAGTAGTAGTAGTAATAGTAGTAGTAGTAGTTGTCGTAGTAGTAGTAGTAGTAGTAGTAGTGGTAGCAGTAGTGGTAGCAGTAGTAGTAGTAGTAGTAGTAGTAACAGCAGTAGTGGTAGTAGTAGTAGCCCTAGTATTAGTAGTAGTAGTAGTAGTAGCAGCAGCAGCAGCAGTAGTAGTAGTAGTAATAGTAGTCGTAGCAGTAATAGTAGTCGTAGTATTAGTAGTAGCAGTAGTCGTAGTAGTAGTCGTAGCAGTAGTAGTAGTAGTAGTAGTAGTAGTAGTAGTAGTAGTAGTAGTAGTAGTAGTAGTAGTAGTAGTAGTAGTAGTAGTAGTAGTAGTAGTAGTAGTAGTAGTAGTAGTAGTAGTAGTAGTAGTAGTAGTAGTAGTAGTAGTAGTAGTAGTAGTAGTAGTAGTAGTAGTACAGTAGTAGTAGTAGTAGTAGTAGTAGTAGTAGTAGTAGTAGTAGTAGTAGTAGTAGTAGTAGTAGTAGTAGTAGTAGTAGTAGTAGTAGTTGTATTAGTAGTAGTAGTAGTAGTAGTAGTAGTAGTAGTAGTAGTAGTAGTAGTAGGACATTGCGCAAACCACCTGGATCGTCCTGGGATCCGCAAATTAGTAGTAGTAGTAGTAGTAGTAGTAGTAGTAGTAGTAGTAGTAGTAGTAGTAGTAGTAGTAGTAGTAGTAGTAGTAGTAGTATGGTCATTACTATTGTTAGTAGTTGCAATCCTCGGTATATTCGTATCACTTTTACTATGAATGCCAATAGTATTAGTGATATTAGTTTTCGTGGTACGCTTTGTCTTATTATTATGTGTATTTTCTTATTATCCTCCTCCTCCTCCTCCTCCTCCTCCTCCTCCTCCTCCTCCTCCTCCCTCTCCTTCTTCTCATTATTATTATTCTTCTTCATAATATTCCTCCTCCTCCTCCACCTCCTCGTCCTCCTCCTCGTCCACCTCGAAGCCGGTCGGAAGGGCCTCTCCTCATTCTCCTCCTCCCCACCACCCCCCCACCCCACCTCATCCGTCTCCTCCTCCTCCTCCATACCTCTTCCTTATTATCCTCCTCCTCTTCTTTCTCCTTATCCTCATTCTCTCCTTCTCCTCCTCCTACTCTCCTCTCATCCTCCTCCTCCTCCTCCCCTCTTCCTCCTCCTCCTCCTCCTCCTCCTCCTCCTCCGCCTCCTCCTCCTCCTCCTCTCCGAGGCCGGTCCGAGGCGCGCGGAAGGTGCATGTATATCGTGGACGGGGCCATGATGCCATGATGCCTCCTTGGAGTCAAAAAGGCGGCGGGCCACCTCCCTCGGCGGCGGTGGCGGCGCGGCGCGGTGGCACCTCGGGGCACGGGGTCGAAGGTTCGAATATGGCCAGGGGACAAGGGCTAAACTCGGCTCGGGAGCCTTGGGACAGGGGTCACTGCAAACGAGGGTCAGCCACAGCGCCAGGTCTTGCAAGATTCTGCAGCGCCAGGGGTGCACTGACCCGGATTTGGGTGCAGGTTCCTTCAGGATCTGGCCGGATCCTGCAACGCCCCACTGACCCGGGTTTGGAATGACCTGGGTCAGTAGATCCTGGAGGTGCGTGGATATCGTGGCACCTTCCATGATGCCTCCTCAGAGTCGGTTGGCGGCGAGCCCGGAGCGGAAATGAGAAAAGCGGGCCTCCTCAGAAGGCTCGGAAGTGAAAAGGGCGGGTCCTCCTCCTCCTCCTCCTCCTCCTCCTCCTCCTCCTCCTCCTCCTCCTCCTCCTCCTCCTCCTCCTTCCTTCTTCTCATCCTCCTTCTAATCCTCCTCCGCCATCTTCTCCTCCTCCCTCCTGCTCCGCCTCCTCCTCCTCCGTCTCCTCCTGGTCTTGTCCTCCTCCTCTCCTCCGCGCCTCTTCTCTTCCGCCTCTTCCTCTCCTCCTCCTCCGCCCTCCTCCTCTACTCCTCCTCCTCCTCTCCTCTCTTCCTCCTCCTTTTCCTCCTCCTTTCCCTCCTTATCCCGTCTTCCCTACTCTCCTACCCTCTCCTCCTCCGCCTCCTCCTCATTCTTCTTTCTCTTCTTCTCCTCCTCTACCTCCCTCCTCTCCCCCTCCTCTACCTTCCCTACTCCCTCTCTCCTCCTCCTCCTCCTCCTCCTCCTCCTCCTCCTCTCCTCCTTCCTCCTCCTCCTAATCTCTTCCTCCTCCTCACCCCTCCTCACCCCTCCACTCCCCGGCCTCCACCTCCTCCTCCTCCTCCTCCTCCTCCTCCTCCTCCTCCTCCTCATCTCTTCCTCCTCCTCCCCTCCTCCTCCTCCTCCTCTCCTCCTCCTCCTACTCCTCCTCGTTCCTCCTCCTCCCGCATCCTCTCTCCTCCTCCCTCCTCCCTCCTCCCGGCCCCGCGGTGCCTTCTCGAAGCTTGAGGCGCCACCGCGCAGGGCCAGGGCCACCAGGCGAAGGCTCCTGGCGGGGCGGCCCGCCAGCGGGCGTCTATCCCTCCTCGCTCCCTCCTCGCCTCCTCCCGCCTCCTCTTCCTTCTCTTCTCCGCCCTCGTCCCTTCTCTCTCATCCTGCCTCCGCCCTGCATTGTCTGCCCTCCCTCCTTCCCTTCTCCACCTGCCTCGTGACCCCCACATCTCCGTCCTACTCCTCCGATACCTCCCTGCTCCTCTCCCCCTCCCCTGCTAACCCTCCCTCCTCCTCGCGCATGTTCCTCCTCCTCCTCCTCGCCTCCTTCGTCTCCTACTCCTCCTCATCACCATCGTCCCCCTACTCCAGCTCATCCCTCTTCCTTCTCCTCCTCCTCCTCCTCCTCGCCCTCCTTTTCCTGCTCTTTCTCCTCCTCCTCCTCCTCCTCCTCCTCCTCCTGCATTCCTCTTCCTTATAGGAAACTCCTCCCTGCCGCACCCCGAGGACGGTCGAAGGGGCAAGCTGGGCGTTTCGCCTGATACGTCCTCACCACGTATGACCCTGGTGCGTTAAGTGTGAAAACAGCTTCAGAGATGGAGGGCGGAACGTTTTCAACATGTGGCTCTCGCCTCAGCGCCGCGCACATTCGTTTTAAACAGTGGCAAGGGTTTCACGGATTGAGGGTGGTTCTTTCTTGATCGCCTTAGCGCCGCGCACATTCGTTTTAAACACCTGCAGGAGTTTCACGGATTGAGGGCGGTTCGTTGTCAAAATGTGGCTCGCGCCGCGCATTCTATTCATGAACTCGCCAGAGTTTCGCGGATTGAGAGCGGGTCGTGTTCAAGCTGTGGCTCTCGCCGCGCCTGTTCGTTATACACTTTGCAAGAATTTAGCTGATTGACGGCGGCTCTGTCTCATAAGGCGGCTCTCGCCGTAGCGCCGTGCGCATTCGTTTTTAGCAAGCGTGTCACTTGTTCTCATGGTCAATGTACCAGAAATGATGTTTCGGAATGGCTCAAGACTGTCAGGGCGCAACAGTTGCGTTGATTCGCTGTGGTGGCGTCCGGGGAATGGCGTTCTGGCACGGTGCCGCATCGCCGAGATGTGAGAGTCAGGAGGCATCGTGGCGTTGAAGTCCTGCGAATGGTGCTCTGGCACGCTTCAGGGTGACACTCACCTTGCCGTCGCTCGGACGTCCATTTCCCGTGCATTTGTCGGTTTCGTGCGTGTTTTTTTGCTCGATGGTCCAGGATGACCCTTGATGGTTCTCGCCGACGTCCGAGCGATGCCAGGTTGTCTCCCAACGGGGCACGTCCCCCAGCGGAGATGACCCCCTGCGGGGGGCCCTGTAAAGAGGGATCTTGCAGGGCGGGAGTATTTCAGTATCGCTGACGAGTCTTGGGCTTGCAATGGTCCACCTCCTCCTACTCCTCCTCTCCTCCTACTCCTCCTCCTCCTCCTCCTCCTCCTTGTCATCATGATCATCAGGATCATCATGTTCATCATGGTCACCATCATCATCCGACCACAGTAATCATCATCAGCAGCATCAGCATCATCATAATCACGACCACCACCATCAGCATCACCATCATCATCAGCAGCATCATCATCACCATTACCACCAGCATCATCATCATCATCATCAATATCATCAGTATCACCATCAGCAGCAACTCCGTCAACGTGATCATCATCGTCATCGTCATCATTGTAATCAGTATAATCAGCAACGTCGTCATCGTCGTCATCATCAGCAGCAGTATCAATATGATCATGCGCATCCTCATCCTCATCCTCATCCACATGCTCATCCTCATCCTCATCATCATCATCAGCACCATGATCAACATCATCAGCAGCATCATCATCCGCATCATCATCATCATCATCATCATCATCATCATCATCATCATCATCATCATCATCATCATCATCATCATCATTATCTTCATCATCAGCACCTGCATCTGCATCTGCATCAGCATCATCATCGTCCGCATCAGCATCAGCATCATCATCATCAGCATCAGCATCATCATCCTCATCCTCATCCTCATCCTCATCATCGTCATCATCGTCATCGTCATCATCATCAGCATCATCATCACAATACACCACGCAGTTGCGGATAAGAGGTAAACCCCGAATCTGCGGATAAGAGTGAGGGGGCAGCGTGGACGTCGGCAGTCTGCGAGGCCCTCAGAAATGCCGCCCGAGGTGCCTCATTTTCCTGAAGAGCCAGCCGCAGACGCAGATTTTTTCGTTAAAGCAATGTGGGTTGGTAGCGGGTGGGTGGCGTGTCGGTCGCGGGTGTGTCGCGGGCGGGTCGCGGGCGGGTCGCGGGGAGGCTCGCGGGTGGGTCGCGGGTAGGTCGCGGGCCGGATCGCGGGCGGGGTCGCGGGTGGTTCGCTGCTGGGTCGCGGGCCGGGACACGGGTGGGTCACGGGTGGGTCGCAGGTGGGTCGCGGGGGGGACGACAACAACAACTCAACGCAACACCAAAGCGGATTCCGCGCCGCGGAGTCCCACTTCAGCCACGCACCCAGGGACAGTGAATAATCTTGCGGCCCCTAACTCGGAGTATTCTCATTATCAGAAGCAGCATGAAAAGCATCATCATCACCATCATCATCCGCATCAGCATCAGCATCAACATCAGCATCAGTATCATCGTCATCATCAAAACCATCATAACAAACATGACCGTCATCATCGGCATCATCATCAGTATACTCGTCATCGTCGGCATCATCATCATCATCATCATCATCGTCATCATCATCGTCATCATCATCATCATCATCATCATCATCATCATCATCATCATCATCATCATCATTATCATCATTATCATCAATCATGATCACCACCATCATCGTCATTACCACACACACCACCACAACCACCACCATCAGCATCATCATCACCATACTCTATATCATCATCGTATCCATCTCCACCTCCACAATCATAATCACCATGACCATCATCATCATCAGCAGCATCAGCATCAACATCAGCATCAACATCAATATCATCATCATCATAATCCGCAGCATCCTCATCAGCAGTATAATCATCATCATTATCATCAGCAGCAGCATCAGCATCAACATCAGCATCAGCATCAGCATCATCATCGTCATCATCAGTATTATCATCATCGTCATCATCATCATCATCATCATCATCATCATCATCATCATCAACATCAACATCCTCATCCTCATCCTCATCATCATCATCATCATCATCATCATCATCATCATCATCATCGTCATCGTCATCGTCATCGTCATCGTCATCGTCACCATCATCACATCAATGGAAGGCAGGCCGGCAGTGTTCGACGACTTGATTCCTCCGAGCCCATCCCTGCCCCGTCCAGGCTGCAAGCAGAGGGTCGGGCGTAGAGAAAGAACAAACTGCACAAACATATACATTCGACGATCCGCGCGGATTTCTTGGATCTGCGCTGCACCCCGCTCACTGGCACGCGAAGCGCGCCAGCGGCAGTGCCGGAGACGCCGACAGGGAACTCCAGCGCAAATCCAAGACATCCACGCGGAGCTTCGAACATTTCTGTTTGTGCAATGCTTCTTCTCCGAGGGCGGGCCAGTGTGGCGGCGCCTGCCAGGTGCCGCGTCCAGCAGCTGCAGCGCGGCCGCGCGGGCCTTCTTGGCGCTGACCTCGGCGCGGCGGCGGCTGACGCAGGCCTCGACGCCGTCGCCGTGGGCTTTGCGCTATATGCGTTCTCATTATGATAGCTGAATGATTGGGAGCTTGGGGCCAAGATACCTTCAGACTACGGATGCGAATCGACGCACATAGTTGAATCGGGTCGAGTCCGATCGATGGCCGCAGGCTCGAGTTGCTCGCTCGAGGTCGCTTGCGGGCATCCTCTTCGACTCGCATCGCGGGTGGTCTCGGTCGCTCCCTCGCTCCTCCTCTGGCCGAGCCTTGTGCTCCTGTGGAGGAGGAGGAGGAGGAGGAGGAGCGAGGAGGAGGGCCAAGGAGAAGCGAGGAGGAGGGAGGAGGAGGAGGACAGAGGGGGAAGAGGAGGAGGAGGAGGAGGAGGAGGAACAAGAGCAGGGGGAGCCAGGGAGCGCCTCGTGCTCGTGCTACTCCTCGGCCTCGTTCCCGCTCATCCCCTTGGCCCGCATCCCCGCTCCCCTCGCCTCGTGCTCCCCCGCACGGAGAGCAGCGGGGCCGCTCTGGCACACGGTGGAGCATCGCGCGTGCGCACGGGGCTGGACCTAAACGTGTCGCTTGTTTTGTGTTCGGCTTGTTGCTCGTTTTGCTCTCCCTGTCTTCCTGCACCTCCCTGCCAGCAACGAAAAAACAAAACACGGCCGACGTCCAGCAACGCAGCGCTTGGGTCCAGCCCCGTGTGGGCAATGCCTCGAAGAAGTCCGATGGGGCGTGGGCCCATGAGAGGCGCAGGAGCGCCCACGACGAAGCAGAGGGAAGAGGCAGGGCGCAGAGGGGGCCGCCGTTCAGCGTCAGACGAAGCAGAAGAAAGACAACGAACGAGCGATGCCGATCGCCACAATCGCCTGACATGCAAGCATTATGTGTGATCAACGCTCAACCAGCCTAGCTGTTGACTCGGGTAAAACTAATAATGAAAAGACAGATCATTCGAAGAAGAAAAAGAAGGCACATCACAGTACTACGAATGCTAACAATGGTAGTGATACGACGGACACGAATGATAACAGTGATAACACTAAACATAAGAAGAACGATACTAATAACAACAATCCATACAACGCACAGGAGGAGGAGGAGGAGGAGGGAGAGGCGGAGGAGGGGGCATAAACCGCTGTAGCACCAGCGGGTGGAACATTCAGCATGTCACCAGCAACCTGGGCTTCCCCCAGCGCACAGGAGGGGGGAAACGAGGAGGAGAAGAAGCGAGCATGAACGAGTGCAGCACCAGCGGGCGCGACATTCAGCATGGCACCAGCAGCCGTGGCTTCCTATCCAAACCACTGCTCCGCCAGAGCTCGCCTGGTCCGGCCCAAACCCCCCACCGCGCCGGGCCTGCGTCTGGAGAAGCGCCGGGCTCGGGAGCGTCTTCTTGAAAAGCTCCAACGCCTGCGCACCCGTTCCGCAAGCACGCCCTCGCGTCCTCCTCCTCCTCCTCCTCCTCCTCCTCCTCCTCCTCCTCCTCCTCCTCCTCCTCCGCATCCTCCTCCTCCTCCTCCGCCTCCCTCCCCCCTTCCTCCGTCCCTCCCTCCCTTCCTTCCTCAACTCTTCCTTCCTCCTTCCTGCTGTCCAATCCCTGCCACTACAAGCGGCATATGTGCATCCACGACCCCGCAATCCTGATGAGGGGTGGGATGCGTGCGCGCGTTGGTTTTGAATCTCCACAGCTTCCTCTTCTTCTGTCTCCTCCTCCTCCACCTCATCCTCAGTATAGTCCTCCCCTCTTCCTCGTCCTCCCCGCATCCCACCGTCGTTATTCCTCCTTCCCCTTGCCCTCCTCTTCTTCAGATTCTTCGCCTTCGCCTGCTTCGTTTCATTCTTAGTCTTCTCCAATTTCCGACACCTCTTCCTTCTCCACCTGGTGCTCGTCCTGCTCCTCCTCCTCCTCTTCCTCCTCCTCTTCCTCCTCCTCCTCTTCCTATTCCCTTGTGCCTCCTCAAGTGGGTCCTGCTTATGCTACTGCTGACCAGTCTCCACGATTCTACCACCGCCCCTCATCGTCATCGTTCAAGATCTTGATGGTGTCGGCCAGCGCCAGGAGCT